ATTTCTGCTTTGCATTATCTGTTATACATGGAACCTGTCACAGAACAAAGATCAAGTTCATTAACATTATAGGAATCAGAGATGCATTTTTTCATCAGTGGTTTGCTCCCAGTAGCCTGACCTAACCACTGCCTTACTGAGCTCCACAATAAAACCATATTTCTATCATATTTCTGTACAAACAATAGAAATGTATTTATATTTATATAGCTTATATGCAAACTGTGCATCATATCACATGGCATTATATCTCTGCTGGGCTCTTCAAAAATAATAATTTAACTAGTTTTAAAATATTAACTCCTATGTTTATAGCATGTGTTTTTCACCTTTTCTGAATGATTGTTTTACAATGTTATTAAAAGGAAATCTTCCTGGAAAATCCTACGGCCATTATAATGAAATGCTGCTTAATGAATAATAGTGAGATAATAATGAACTGATGCATGTCCGGTGTGGTTTTCTGATCTTTCTGGAACGTAACAAACCCAAAAACTAAAGTAAATCTGATAAAATAATATTACGTGGCTGTTGTTGTCATCTGTAAATAACAGTTTCTTGATTTGGGGAAAAACGTTGTTTTGAAACATAGTTAGCTTGCTTTCTCAGTCGCATTAGACAGAAGATGGAAAGCTTGCCAGCAGGTTCCACAGGGGATCTGGTTCAGGAGTTGAATAAAGATATTTTTATTATTATTTATATTCGTATTTTTTTTAAATGAATGGATACATAAAAAAAATAAAATTGGTGTGAATGAAAAATGACTTCTTTTTCCGCAAATGTCCGGTTTAAATCCGAATACGAAAACAAATACGAGTATTTTGAGCACAGATACAGATACAAATACTGATAATGACATTGTATTACACTTGTAACAGGCACACACAACTGTAGTGTTCTATACTAATACAGGTGCTTTGTGTATCTTAAATGTCTTCATGGTACTGTTTTAATTAAGACCAGAAAATATGTTTTCTTATTCACATATACTGATGCATCATTTGTAGCATTGTAATCGTCATCATTATTATTATTATTGAACTAATAACTACTTTTATTTATTCTTGCTTTTCTCATTTGAAAAACAAAACAACTAAATGCAAAAACGGACACAAAAATGTTTTAGAATTTTAGAGAAAAACAGAAAATTCTAGTTCTTTAATTAAGATATACATGTAGAGCAGTATTAACATTTACTGTGGGATTTATTTTTTCTTGAGTTTTTCTACGGTACCAGTTTTCACAAACCACGCACACACATACACACATAACAGGGTCAGGAAAACCTTTTCTTCCTGACTGGTTTGACCTCACAGGGCTTGACAGGTGAAGCAGTAGTGGGATTGGTCAGTGGGACTGTCAGTCACAGCGGGAGGTGGGAATAAGGAGGTGTGGCATGTACAAATGTGCGCCTGGTTCACAGGTGCGCAGGTGTGTGTTAGGCTTGTCAGCTCAGAGTTTGTGCTTGTAGGAGAAGTGTTTAAAGAAGTTTAAGGTCTCTGTGTGACAGCTGTCGTTTCTGGGAGAGGTCAGAGGTCATCATGAGGAGGTACAGGCCGGTGCCACGCTCGGACGCAGATGGAACCTTCAGATACAGACGTACTAGGGACAGGACAGCCTTCTTTTCCACACTGGGTACAGCGTTTGTGTGTGTATGTCCATGTAATTGCTGCTTAAAAGTGTCTGATACTTGATTGTTGATTCTAATACTTTGATTTCTCATAGACTGTTACAGCATGAATTAAAAAAAACAGTTTATACAGTCAGTATGGATACACACCTGTAGACTTGGGGTATGTTTGTCTTGGGGAAATTCTTTTATCCATTTATGCAGAAATAGGGTAAAAGCATATCTTGGTATAAATAGTATTATAAATAATGCATTACACATTCTCTCTCTCTCAATCTCCTTCTCTCTTTCAGCCTCTCAATGAGGGTATCATATGCTTGATAATGATCAACCCTATTTCCACTTCTCAACTTACAGTACCGCATCCACAAACACACACACACACACACACACACACACACACACTAAATGATAAAATAAGATTTTGTACTGATATTGCAATGATATTAGCAGTTGACCTGTGCTATTAACATAATGTCATCTACTCATGTGTATCATCTGAAATAATAAAAAAAAAGGTCATAAAGCTGCTTTCACTCAAAGTGGTGTGGGTGGGCATGCAGGAGATTCATGGCATATAACTACAGGGTCTGCGATATTTGAAATATTTTAATCAATATCAAGTACTGTTAAAGTTCAGGAATCCCTGGATTACAGGGGTTTGTGTAGTGTAGCCTTCTGCCATATCAGAGTTTCATATACTAATATTGTAATAGTCTCAGAGATTGAAACAAGTTTGTAACGTTCATGTCATCCTAGTCTAGAAGCCAAGCTGTTATCACACCCTTTTCACAATCGCCTCTCCCTACACATCTGCAAACGACCTACCACAGACCATTATTTTTGCATATGTCATTCAAATGGTCTCTTCCTGGTGGTTCCTGGCCAGACTGACTAATGGAAAAATACAAGACTCTATTGTCATAATAACTACCAAACAGCATGCTGTCTGGTTCTAATACATAGTGGAAGTGAATGGGCTCTGTGTGTGTGTGTGTGTGTGTGTGTGTGTGTGATGGCTGCATCATATGTGTGTGTTTTTAGTGAGGGAGAGAAATGCGTTAAATATGAGAGGAGCCTAGTGGCTGGTTGGATACTCTCAGATTTCTTTTTTCTCTTAATTATTAATTAACCTTTCACACACACACACACACACACACACAAACCTGCTGAACTCTAATCCATGTTGTCACTAGTGCTAGTTATTTGTACAAAACTAAATCTAAATAAGCAGTCAAAATTTTTATTTATATATTTATATATATTTATATTATTTATATATTTAGTGTTAGTCTTCTGACAAAAGTACATAATAGTTGTAGTCATATTTTAGTCATTTAATTATCGTTAGTTTTAGTCTATAGTTAGTTGGGGGAAAAAAACTACAACAATCTAGTCAACTAAATTAAACAGTTGTAGTCAATTTTAAAGCTTGTTACTTATAGAACTCGTACTTTGAATCCCAGATAACCACCAGGGGCAGTGAGAGTCACCCAGGTATCTTCTACTGCATGTTCACACATGTACCAAAACCTTTCAAGTCACAAAGTGACATATGACACAGTATTTGCAATAAATACCACTGTCATACAGCCATCTTTCCTTGTTGCCAAATGTCAAGAAGAATCGACACACTATAGGATTAAATGGAAAGGTGGTCAGAGATAACTACCATACTTATGTCACTGAGAGGGCCAATATTAACCTTGTTGAATGTGGAGAAAGTGCACAGTGACGCTCAGGTATCAGCAGTGCATACTTGCTGTAATAGTATGTCTTGGTGTAATGCCCATAATGAGGAGATGCACTGCAAAAACCGACATCTTACCAAGTGAAAATATCTTGAATATAGTCAAATTTATTTAGTATTTCCTATTATAAGGTGACAGTAAACCAAATGTAAGATTATTAAACCTATTCTGAGACATTTTTTCTCATTTTAAGCTTTCCATTTTCTTATTCTATTGGCAGATAATTTTGCTTCCTTCTAGAAATAAATGCTTAAAATTAGCAAAATTACCTGCCAATAGAACAAGACTATTGCAGGCTTGAAATTAGAGCTTGAAGTCTAGAAATAGGTTTAATGATCTTATATTTGGTTTATGGTAATCTTACAATAGGAACTAGATAGATTTCACTATATTCCAGATATTTTCACTTGTTAGTTCTCATATTTTGCAGTGTGCTACTTATAGATTGCATGGAATGTTAGGTGTTGGGCAGCCAGTCCATCTATAGAACATGATGATGTTGTCTATCACCTGGTGTGCCAGCCTTTGCTTGGATAAATAGGCCCGTCAAACCCCTCAAATTGTCAAGTCACAGATGAACAGTTGGTCTGAGGACTGGATGGCTGCCATCCAGTCTGAAAACTACCATAGGGCACATACTGGGCACAAGAAGGACCGCTCTACAGGCTCACCTTCATGGAACACTGCAAGGTTAATTGATTGTTTTACAAAAATTGGGTGATGTGACTTTTGGCAGAAATCCTGGGTTCAGTCACATGGTCAACACAGAGTCATATGACCACCAATGCATGCAATGTAAGCTTATCATCAGAGCAAACAGTTCTTTCAGTCTTTTTGCTGAAGTGATTGCTAGCAAGAACAGTTCAATCTGGTATCTTACATAGGGTCATAAAGAGGGGCCTTAAGGGGGAGATCCAGTGCCAGCTCTAGTGAAATCGTGGTGGAAGTTTGAGCCCCCAGAGTGATGCTATCTGCAGTGCTGTAACGTGCTGCAACTGCAGCCACATACACCTGGTGTAGATGGGAATGTGCCGCTCTCTAGCAGTCACTAATGAAAAGGTAGTATTTTGGGAATTGGGCATGCACCGGGTCCAGTCAGGAGGTGCACTTGTACTACAAGAAGGGCACATCTTTCTTTGTGGCATTTGGGGTCCAGCTGTAGGTCAACCCAAGGAGACTTTCTCTGTGGCTGCCATGAACAATTCTAAGACTCTTAACAGGAGCTGGTACAACACAAGGCGATCTGGCTGAATCCGATTTGCAAAGCATAATAAGCACCTCATTGTTTATGAGAAGGGTGGATTTGTCCCCACTTGGCCTGCTTCTTGGTGATGGCCCATAGGAGCCAGTCACGCAAGTACGGAAGTATCCTAATCCCTCTGGACATCAGGGTGGAAAAGGCCACTTGCATAAATCTCACAAATAACCATGGATGTTGTTCTTCCTCTTTCAGCTGCTCCCGTTAGGGGTTGCCACAGCGGATCATTGGTCCGCATATTTGATTTGGCATAGTTTTTACGCTGGATGCCCTTCCTGATCCAACCCTCTCCAATTTTATCCAGACTTGGGACTTGCACTGGGAGTGCACTGTCATGTGCAACCCCAGAGGCTGGGGTTGGTTCCCCGGCTGGGAATTGGACCCGGGTCGCGGCGGTGAGAGCACTGAGGCTTAACCACTAGTCCTCCAGGGACCCTTTGTTTTATTAAAAAAAACAAAAAAACAAATGGAAGCTTTGCTGCTTTCCAGTGGCCCCATGTGCATATCTCTCCTCTCTCTCTCTCTTTAAACACACACCCCTCACTAACAGAGAGACAGACACACACACAGAGAAATAACAGCTTGTTAATATAAACCAACAAATAATCAGAAGGTTTGCCATGTTAATTTCTCATTCCCCCACAATCCTGTTGCAGACTCCTGCCAAACCACACCCTGACTTGCCACAGTAATGTTTTGAATTGGAAGGCCTGTCATTGGAAGGCACACCTTGAAAACCTTGAAGGCATCCGTGTTCTTGGACAATGAGGGCATGAAAACACATGTGCAGATCTATCTATGTGAGCCAGTCCTGTGCTTGCATGGCATAAACTTCATCTGCGATCCTTAGCATATGGAAAGGAAGGGTCTTTAGGAACCAGTTCAGCCCCCTCAAATCTAGAATTGGGTGTTAACTGTGATCTTTCTTCTGAACAGGGAAGTGTTTTTATTAGAACCCTTTGCTTTGAAACCACAGGATTTGTCTTAAGAGAACAAAGTTCATGCGTCAGTGACAACTTTGTTGGGGTTTTATACTGACAAGGCTCTGAACCCCAAGATAGTTGGGGGTGAGTGATATTGTCTTCAAGACTCACTGTAGTTGATGTAGTTTCTGTCCATGGCTGTAAAGCATCCCTCAGCCCTTCATGTAAGTCACTTGCAATCAATTCTATGAATTTGAATATGCAGTCAGGGCAGAATATGCAGACAGGGCCTGTTTCTGAATGAGAAGGCTCTCATTCATGTAATGTGTACTATTCCACATTGTTTGCATGTCTTTGTGAAGCTATTTAGGCAGCATTTCCAACTCTACCCTGAAGGTCCTGTAGTTGTAGTTATGAATAAGCGATTGTTGAGTGTTTAAAGTGACCCACACTTTTTCTGCAAAGAACGAGTGCATTACTTGGATTTCACTGTGAGAGCAGACCCGTGTGCACAGTTCCCTCTGAGCGCATTGCCTGTAACTCATCTTAGTTAATTTTATTGTAGAAACACTGACTTTTTCCATCTTGGTCAAAGGTTGTAGACAAAAAAGCTGGTATGACACACTTATGCATGTACAGTTCTCCAATTAAACACACACACACACATAGAAAAACAGTATGATCACCATTATTGATGGAAATAAATATGTCTGATTGTTTGACTGCAAAGTCACATTCAAGGTCACAATGGATATTCTTCCATCATTCCTTTCTTCCTTCTTTCCATCCTAATTGATTGGTTGGCAGATTAGGAATTTATTAAAGAAAACTACAAATAATACAACAAATTCAATTAAAAAGGTATAAAAGGCATCTTATGGATAATAGTTATATTATATACATGGACTTGCCTTTTGTTTTCTAGACAAAATAAAGCTTAATTATAGAGTGTATATCAGTACGGTACATGCACAGGCATTAAGGTTGCTTTGAGGACTAAGTAATCCAGACTGGTGTAAAGTGCAAGGCCTGAATAATGCGTCATGGCTGTCACATGGCTTTATGTATGAATGCACACTGAAAGATGTCTCTCGCTACAGGTGTGTGTGGATGTTGTGGGCGGTGCCGTCCCCGCTACAAGCGCTTGGTGGATAACATTTTCCCGGAGGACCCAAAGGTACTACTACCTCAGCGCCACACACACACACACACACACACACACACACACACACACACACACACACACAGGGTAGGAGGGCTGAGGTTTAGAAAAGAAACACATCCTGTGTGGAGGGTTTTGTACAAACCACTTATTTAAAGGTTCTGGTAATTTTCACTGTCTCTTTTAATGCTTTTGTTCTTCAAATCTATTGTAGATTACAGGAGACCATTTGTGTTGCTTTTTAATACTATTGAAACAGTTATTTATTAAATGACAGGATCAGTTTATTTTGCATGCCTTTATTTTTGGTGCAGGATGAAATCACAGACAAAAAAAATACTCAAAATAAGATAACACTTAACTAATCCAAGGCCATCTGTCCGCGACTGATTAGGATAACTTTAATGGCTGCTGTGAAGCAGATGGGAGAGGTTGAACAGCCAATTGCTATGACTTTCTCAATCTGATGCCAGCCTAGTAATAATTAGAATAATTGCAGATTTGAAATTTTCTTAAAAAAAAAAAAAGAAGAAGGATATGAACAAAATGTGTATCCTGTTATGCCATTTTAGCAGTTGGTTCAAAAATGGTCCAGTAGTGAAACTTTAAATTCAGGCTATAGTCAGGCTAGCTGTAGATAATATATAACTTTTGCTTGCAGTTTACCTAATCCAGCTAGATGGAAAAAAATAAACAAAAGTAAGTGGCATCAGATACCTTTATATGAATTCTCTCACCCTATCCCAATAATTGTGGAATATGTTTTAAATAAAAATGTTAGAATAAGCCTGAGATTAATTCTATGATGATTAGTTGTCTTTTGATTTTATGCCACTGTATTAAAACATAGGCATAACAGTAGTCTAATAATGCACATGTATCTTATGAACAGCAGCCATTTATCAGCATTGAACATGGAAGTAAATTAAATTGCATTCAAATAATAATTGAAATAAGTGAGGCGGTTTTGGGAAAACTCATTGGATGTCGCTGAATTCTAGAAAACAGCCAATAATGATGAAAAGTCTGGTTTTGACCAAAATGTAATTTTTCTGCCAATTATGTTATTTGACATTTCTAATTTAAGGAAACATAAATATATTTTAGCAAAAGATGTAGAAATTATTTTATTACTTTCATTATTACTTTCAGCTTGCAAAGATCACATTTGATAAGGAGCCAGTTTATCAAACACGGAGCTAAATGCAGTCACTCTGCCTAACGCCTTGCTAGCTCACTGTGCTTTTCTCAAACAACAAATGTCATGATTTAACAAATTTTCGGGGATAGCTGTATGCCATAGAGAAATGGGCATGAGCCTAATCAATTCCGTTTGTAATCAGATACTGATGTCTGATGCACATGAAAAGAGTGCTTATGGACTCTGTACAGGTGACAACAGAAAACATTTTAAAGAACTTTGCTCTAAATAATCACGATCAGCTCAAACAATTGTGATTAGGAGATTATGTATTAATTGTAAAAGGTCTGTATTAGAGGATTTTGTCCATTGATTTTAACTCCTGTAAAGAAGACTTTTCCTCATATTTACAGTATAAGTTCTCATTACCACAGATTTACAGTGTGCAGCTGCAGTATGCGTGCAAAAACACACTCACACACACACACACACACACAGAGCCACTTCCTTTCACTTGAGCACACCTTTAAGCATGAATGATATGCTCAGGGACATGCTGCTCACACTACACTAATGCACACTTTCACACTTCCCTCGATTGCTCAGGGGAGTGACATGTAGAGTTGGTCAGAGGTTCATTAATTAAATTAGCAACTGTAGAGCTGTGGGACAGAAGTGCTCTGGGGTGATGTGGGTAAACGATGCTCTTGCTGATTTGCACCAACAGGCCTGGTAGCTACTGCTCAGTGAGAATTACTCAGCCCACAGCTTAAAGGCATGCTTCAGCCAAAGTTAAAAAACAACAAAAAAAAAGTACCTATTGATGCATCTTTAACAAGGCTAGTAACCCTTACCAAAAAAAAAAAATGCTGTGATATCTTGAATGAGATTTCCCTAGTTTGAAAATGGAAAACCTCTATTTTGGAGGTGGTAGTAAATTATTTTATTTTATTTTATTTTATTTTATTTCATTACTGCTATTGTATTTATTATCCTACACATGACGTGATTAGTTACCACAGCAGGGAATCCCAGTAGTTGTGTGGCATGATGCTTGCTGGGTATTTTCGTGCCAGAACATTGATCAGCAAAAAACACAGAGGCTGAGAGGTGTGATACTGCCCAACAAAATATTATCACAGTATGACATGACAAACAACATATAAAATGCTAGGTTTATGCCAGAATTTCTCATGATACCTCTTCATCATTGTTTCACTTTCTTTGCTTCATCTTTTCTCCACCTCTCTTTCTTTCTCTTGTTTTTCAAGGATGGCTTGGTGAAGTCAGACATGGAGAAGTTGACATTCTTTGCTGTATCTGCGCCAGAGAAGCTTGACCGTATAGGAGAGTATCTTGCCGAACGCCTCAGCAGGGACGTGGTCCGACACCGATATGGGTGCGACACACACGCACACACTCATAAAACCAGTGCGCATATACCGTGCTGTTATATACTGTACATGGAGCTGTATGACTAAATGTGTGTGTGTGTGTGTGTGTGTGTGTGTGTGTGTGTGTAGGTATGTGGTGATTGCAATGGAAGCACTGGATCAGTTGCTGATGGCATGTCACTCACAGAGCATTAAACCCTTTGTGGAGAGCTTTTTGCACATGGTGGCAAAGCTGCTGGAATCCAAGGAACCAGACCTGCAAGTGCTGGGGACCAACTCCGTAAGTGTCAAGTTGTGGTGTGCAGATAAATGTAGCAATATATCAAGATGCTTTCTTGATATATTGAGTGAAGAAGAAGAATAAGCTACGAGCTCGCAGTGGTCTCTAGTTTGAAAATGGAAAACCTCTTGATGACATATGTTAGAGGTGGTAATAAATTTTATGATTTAGGGCAGATACCTGAAATAAGCACTACTAATTTTTTTTTTTTAATACATCAATGTCTATCAGTCAGGATTGGTTGATCACAGTAGGGATTCCCAGTGGTTGATTAATGTTGTTGTTGTTGTTGTTCCTCTTTTGGCTGCTCCTGTTAGGGGTCGCCATAGCGGATCATTGGTCCGCGTATTTGATTTGGCACAGTTTTATGCCGGATGCCCTTCATGACGCAACCCTCCCCAATTTTATCCGGGCTTGGGGCAGGCACTGAGAGCGCACAGTTGCACGCTACCCCAGTGGCTGGGGTTGGTTCCCTGGCTGGGAATCGAACCCGAGCCTAACCACTAGTCCTCCAGGGACCCCTCAGTGGTTGA